CCATATAGTTTCCAAGCAGTTTATAATATCTTCATAAACCCATATAATGAATGATTAAAATCACTGATTTTATCCAAAGTTCTAGCATGAAATAGTTCCATGAAAGAGCTCCATGAAATAGTTCCATTTTCACTGCTTTCCTAAATGCCATTAAGGGCACTATCTGGATCTCAGAAGGTAGCAAATCACTCCATCTACTCCTGTAATCATGAAGCAGAAAGAGTGAGAGTGAGAAAGAATAAAATAAAACATTATTTCTGTTGTAAAAATATTTGAGGAACAAATATTTCTCCAAAGTTCATTTTAGGCTGCAATTTGGGAGATATGGTGGGAGATAGGAAGTGGCTCATTGTTGGGAAAAGTGGAATCACCAGTTTCACTTTTCAGCTCCTCAGCCCTGGTGCCTGCCAGCAGTCCTTCATAGACCCTGGCTTTTTGTTGCTGCTTTTGAATGTTGGCTTGGTCTGTCCAGTAATAAGGCCTCCTTCACTAATGGTTTTATCACTGTTGAGAGGGCCAACCTGACATGTATCACAAGACCTGGCTGAGGAGGTTAAGCAGGTAGCCCTTTTGGAGATATCCACAGCTGGTGTTGGGTATAGCATCAATCAAGATGCTGGGGCAGGAGTAGAAGTGTGGGAGTTGTCATTCAAGAATTTCTTATAGCCTTCAAGGGATGGTATTCTCTCTCTCTCTCTCTCTCTCTCTCTCTCTCTCTCTCTCTCTCTCTGTGTGTGTGTGTGTGTGTGTTTCTGTGTCAGTGAGTCTGTGTATATGGGTACAGGTCACTGGATGTGAGATGCTATTCATTAAGTTGGGCTTTAGGAATCTGTTGAGGTTTATTTATGTATTTATTTAATACATTTATATAGCTGCCCAACTCACATATGGAAACTCCAAGTGGCATACAACATTAAAAAATCAACAATGTAGAAACCCCAGAACCCCATTTACCTGTGGCAACAACAAATATGATCAGAGAAGTCACTTGATTGCCTCCAAATCAACCTAACATCTCCAGATCTGCTTATAAACCCATGTCTTCAGGGCCTTCTGGAAAAGTAGCAAGTGGGAGAAATCTTATTTCCAGGGAAATTATGTTCCAAAAGGAAGAATCCATTTCAGAGAAGGCCCTTCTTCTAGCGTCCCTCAGGTGAACTTCCTTAGTAAGTGGGACCTACAATATACATACCTATCTTCCATCTTCTGAGCCAGGTAGATATAGATACAGAAGGTCCTGCAAATTCCAATGCAGGGCTTTAAAAGTGACAACCAGTAGCTTGAATTGTACCCAGAGGCAAATCAGCAACCACTGGATATAGTTTTTAATAATAAATGTTTTATATATTTATTGAGGTTTTTTTTAAATTAAGTATCATATGTTGCTCAGAGTCACATTTTTGTGAGATAGGCAGATGTATAAATTTGATAAATAAGTAAAATCAATGTATGTATAGATTTTCATGACAGGACTGTGCTAGTATAATGCTTGCTTCTCCTGCTATGGGGAGAAATATTCATGTGCATGTAAATGCCCTCATTCAATTATCTTCAACGTAAAGTTATGAACTAAAAATATTTTGCACTAAATTGGAACAGATTGCTTATGGTAACTCTTGCATAATGAAAGGGTACAATGAAAAATTGCAATTCAAATTACTTTTCAAGTCTGTTCAATTTTATTTTAATTTTTATATAGAAAATTGCACAGTATAATTACAGCATGCTCATTTATTCATACAAAATCTCATGAGCAAATATAAAATATATTTATAAACTGTGTAAAATATATATTATATATTGTGTGTAATTCGAATCAATGAATTATAATAGAAAACATCAAATTGGTTTTCCTTATTCAACTTTCTTATTTCCATAAAAGGTCTGGCATTGCTCTGTATAGAAAAGTTGCAACTTATGAAAATAACCAGTTAAGACTGAGAGTCCAAAGATATTAAAATAACAACTTAGTAAACAGTATTGTACTGCATAATCATTATCCAAAGCAAAGTTAGGAACATTTAATTCAGTTATAGCTAGTATAAAACAGCAGGATTTTATTAGAACATAGGTGGACAAGCTGGGTCCTACAGACACAGCATGTTCTTATGTGCCTTAAATGCCATCCTTGGGATGCTTATAATGGCTGGAGACAAATTTAAGTGGCACATTCATTGCCATCATTGTCTTTTCCTCACATGAGGTAAAAAGTAGGGCCACACATCACTCTGAACTTGGAGAGAAAGATGCATTAGAACATTTGGAGGTCAAATTGGACCTGTCAGCAACAATTTAAAGCAGCTGCATCTTTTCCTAGGATTGCACAATGGTAAGGACAGATGCATTTGGCTTAAGGAGTTGCCAACAGAAGCTACTTATGTGAAAATACCTTACTCCTCTTAATTTTTTGAGACTATGTCAATTACTAAAAGATAAGTGAAGATATGTATAAAATGAATCTGATAGAAGAGAGTTGAAGCTCTAAGAAAAATAAATAAAGATGGAATGGCAAAAATAGAATTCATGTGCAAAATGTGTTCGTTTGTTTAGCAGAGGTGGTGAAAGAAATGAAAACAAAGTTAAATGCAAATTAAAGAGATGCTTAATTTTTCTGTAACTTTTCATAGACTATATTCCTTTTCAGATTTTGGCCAATCCTTTTTTTCCATGTACTATCTGACATATTCCTTAACACTAACAAAATCCCTTAATTTTTTTCCTTAAGTTGACTAGCAATGGTTTAAAAAATTAGGAAAAATGGCTTGTTTAAAACTTCAGTCACACCTGAAGTTCCCTAGAAGACTTTTATAAGTCATGCTTTTTTTCCCTCAGAGAGAGAAAATATCTTTTTTTAAAAAAACTGGAAACACATCAGAATCTAGCTAGAATCTGGCCTGAGTATTTAGTCATGCATGGGGAAAGGCATAGACAAAAAGCAGAATAATTCTAAAATGGCTACTGCCCATATATAAGGCATATATGAATGATGATTTCTGTTGGGCAATGATTTTAGTTTCAATATTAGTTATGGGAGCACTATTACAATTTCCTTCATTAGCCAAATGCTACTGTCTTAAAGAACCCAAAACAATGACACTCTTAAGACTGGATTTTAGATTTCTCAAATATTGTTCCCCTGATGTCCGTTAATATATACAGTATCCATTAATATGGATATATGTGCAAAACAACCAAACTCAGAAAGCACCAAGGACTCCCATATCTACAATATGCTTGGTGGGGGCGGAGAGGGGCTTTTTCAGTTGCTGCTCTTTAAAATTCTCCATATGTCTGGCTTCCCATTTATAAATTTCCTCTAACTTGCAAATACGTTATTATTTAGATAGGATTTGTTATTTATATCTTGAGTTACCTCTGAGACACATGAGTGGTAGAATAGTGTTGCACAATAGTTCTACAATAGTTTGAACTGGATACTCTTTTTAAAAAGTAATCTTTTAAAAATGTGCATAGACTTTGCAGGAGCTGCTTGATACTGCTTGGATGTCGAGAAGAGGGGAAGTTGGTGAACTTGCTGTTCATTTAATCCTTTATTTACATTGTGAAGAGTATGGGCATATGGCCACAGTAGAAATTTCTATGTCTCCAAATTGGTAGTCTAATATATATATAGCGGTGTCATATTTTGCTACCCTACAAAGAAATTTGCTCCAAATTCATAGGCATCATCCTAATTCCTTGCTAACCTTTGAAGAAGCTTTTGATGGACAATGCTTTGTGTACTTTCTTTAGTATAAATTCTTTCAGGAAGTGATATGAATGCCCATCTCCTTTTTTTTTCTTTTTCCGCCTGTAGGGAATGGAGAAGCTTCTGTTTCTGATGAAGCTGCTATAACAGAATAGGTTTAATGGGTCGTGAATTCTGCATTGAAATGATAGCTTCTCTAGGACTTCTGGTCTGCTTTCACAGGCCCAGTGCTGAGCTAGAGACCTAGACAGTAGACCTACTGCCTCAACAGCAAGTGCATTAGACTACATATGCTCAGCTCATTGACTCTGAAGGTAACAGCCTTAAATGCCTCATTAAATTTTCATGGGTGACTGAGGAGCCAGGAGGAAACAAAACAAAACAAAAAACCAGTCCTTCAGCCCTGATTTGTTCTTACAGTATGTTTTCCAGAAAGGGAAAAATAAATAAATAACAACACTGACATGTACAGCAAGAAACCATTTCTCAAGAAATGGTCCATTGGGAAGCTCCTTCCCCCCCCCTCAAAATTTTATCTTTCTGCAACATGGGTTATTAATGAAAAAAATGGTTGGCTGTTACAAAGAAGTGTACAAAGGTGCAAGATTCTGAAAGGATGAGTCAGAGATCTGATTTCTCCTCCTCCCCCCACATGAAATAAAATTTCTCAACAGATCCCTTTGTAAATTTAGTTTTCTTTTTACACAATATGTGGGCTATATATGGACTTGTGAGTTCAGAAGTGTGGAAAGAAATAACTTCCTTGAAGGAATTAGCATTCACTCTGTTTTCTCCGTACAAACCGAACGTGTAACTATATATAATTTTCCAGCAACTCTCTTTAACTCCACCGTTTATGAAATTGGCAAATTAAAGTTAGTTTCTTTCCAGGTGTTATTAGCACTTCTCCCTCCCCTTTCACGAGTGGAGGGAGGGGAGAAGAGAGAACGAAGTAGATGCATTTACGCGGCCAAAATGCGGAGGAGATGCCAGGCGGGTGGAGTTTAGTGGAAAGTGTGTCCGCTGGCAAATCTCCCACATTCCCTCTCCCCGCTACTCTAATGCGATTCTTTCTACGGGGGGGAGGGGAGGGGGAAGAAAAGAAGGCAAAACTGTCATTTCTTGCAAAGTTTGTCCCCGGCTTAACATGGGCGGGGGGGGGAGAGACAGAAGAGAACGGGGCTCTGAACAACTCGCGGTTGCCAACAGGCTGGAAATGAGAGGAAAGGCTCAAAAGGGTGGCGCGAGCTCGCTCGGCTTTGCTGGGTGAGTGGTCGCGTGAGGGAAATCCGGTGTGGTTCTCTCTCTCTCTCTCCCTCCACACCCCTCTCCACCCTCTTCACACGCCGGAGACATCCTCATGTTGCTTCGCCCAGAGTAAGAAAGGTGTTTTCAACACGCACACAGACACGCGCGCGCACACACACACCCACCCCGCATTTCTCAAAGAGGAGGAGGAGGAGGAGAGGACCTCCGGCACAACAAGGGATCCCGCTTCGCCTCCCCTCTTTTTTTTTTTTTCCAGGCTGGCTTAGGCTTAACGCCGCCGTCAGCGGCCTGAGAGGGCAGAGAAAGCGGGAGGCGGATGCGCCCGGCGAGCGGAGGGGGATGGAGCGGCTGGCGGAGCGGCGCGCGAGCTGAGCCAGCCGGGCGCGAGAGGCGAGGCGAGGCGAGGGAGCACGCGGACAGGGGCCACCTCGCTTGCCCACCCTGCGCGCCATGGCCAGGAGGGAAGGCTCGGCGGGGCGAGGTGAGTCGAGGGGCGCGGAGAGCCCGCGCAGGAGGGGTGGCGGGAGCCCGCCTCGCATTCCGGCAGGGCTGGCTGGCTGGTTGCTGGTGGGCGCGGGTGCTGCGTCTGGGCAACTCGGAGTGTTCGCTGACCTTTGGCGACTCCTCTGGCGCCAAATCAGCTCCCGCTCGGCTCTCGGGCCTTGCTGGGCACATCTTAAAAGTCGAGGAGCCATTGTCCGCCTAGGAAGCCTCCCTGCCCCCGGGTTCCCCCGAGCCAGCCCCCTCCCTTGGCGGGACTTCGGTGGCAGACCCAGCTTCTGAGGAGCAGGTGCCGAGTGGCAAGCGGAAAGGCTCCCTTCTTCTGAATAACAGGTGTAGTTCTTTCTACCCGTTACTTCTTTTTTGTGTAGGAAAACAAACTGGACACGTGTGTGAAGGAAGTGTGTGTGTGTGTTGCGGACGCAACAACATAGGAGATGCATGCATTTCATCTCTCTCTCTTTCTTTCTCTTCCCCCTCCCTCATTGTATTTCTTCGACTGCTTTGAAGGTTTACTCCACTGGTTAAATACTGGTTGATCTCTCCCTCCCATTGTGATTGCCGTTCTCTCTTTTTTCCACCTGCATGCTTTGCTTTAGAAATGTGGGTGGCAAAGCCCGTTCTCGTGCAGACCTATGTGGTAGTTGAGAGACTAGTTTCTTCGGGAAGGACACCCATCCTACAAAGTAGCTTAGTGCAAATAACCTGCCGTTCCCGTTATAATGAGTAACTAAAAAAAAAAAAAAAAAGCTGGGAAATGTCTTATTTTGGCTGCCTTGAACTGCTAGCTCCCCAGCATAGACATGATAGGGAGGAGGGTCCCCAGTAATTGCTCTGTTGAGGAGAAATGCTTCAAGCTGCTCATTATTTCCTCACTTCATTACAAAGCAGAGATTCTACAGGCATTGACAGTAGTGTTCATTCCATACTCATTTCCAACTTGACTCTCTATTCTCCGTGCTCCCGCCCCTGCAAAGGAGGACTTTCTGCTGCTCTTCTTTTTAAACTGAACAGTGGAAGCTTTCTCCCAGATATGTGACATGTATTTGTAATAAGGCAGATTTGTATGTTTTGTAAGACAGACTTCTTATTCTATTGCTCTATCTGTGAAGCTCCTGTGAAAATCAGCTTCATCTCCATAATTTTACTCCCAGCTAAATGGCACAAGGGAGAAACAAAAACATGTGATTGTGTGATTAAAAGAAGAAAAAAGAAAGAAAGAAAAGTCTTCGGTATCCAGGGTTCCCCTTAGAAGAGAGTGGAGTTTGTTGTGTGACTGAGTAATAGTTTCTTTTGTATCCTTATAGCTTTACACAATGCCATGTTATTGTGACAGCCTGCAAAAATACGCCTTTTCTTCTTTTGTGTTTACTATTATATTCAATGTTGCAGATGCTTTAGTAGTTCCCTGGGGCTGTTCATAAGGTAATTGCACAAACAATCTCTCTCATTTCTATAGCTTCTATTTCCCATAGAAGGAATTCCAGATATACATTTTTTAAAAGAAAGAAAGAAAATGCAAGTCTTTATTATTTGAAGTTGTACTCATTTTGATTGAGCCAAAACTGATGCATACTTAGGGATAATCTTGATTTGCAATCTGTCATTTTTACAATGCATCTCCTGTGCATCATTGTGCTGCTCCCTACTGTTCATTTTTTAAAAATATCAATGATTGTGGAGACTCATATTTTTTAAAACACTTATTTATAGATCTTCCTCTTTTATATGATATATTAGGGGATCTGTGTCTTCTTTTTTATATAAATAGGAAACAAAGGGCACTACAAGTTTCAAAACTAGGTTGTCAGATTGCAAATTAGCGAATTACTATGTCTTTAAGAAAATGCCATTACTTAAAAGTGAGTTGTTTAACCCTGTATCATAATAATGGAGTAAAAAAGCCATTTCAAGACATGACAGCTTGCTCTGTTCACCATTTAGAGCTATTTAGTGATTTGCATAGACCAGATACCAACCCTGAGTCATAAGGAGCTTGCCATACATACAGAGCAGCCAATATTTTTCTGAAGGTAAAGCTATCAAAGGGAGAACTAGCTCTCTGTGTGCTTCTTTCTAAATATGTAGGCTTTATCTCTGGTTATAATCTTGGATCAAAGTTATATTATGAAGTTATGTTGTACATGCTTTACATTTGAAAGAGAACTGTAGAGAGTCACATAATGGTAATTTGACTTCAAGAACTTGCTAAAAGAAATTGTTGCTAAGATGACTTAATCAGAAGTAGGACTTTGAGGGCTGGATCCAGCAGTTTATAATCAAACCTTCATGGTTCGGAATTTCACTTTGTTTTGGACCTGAATTTAGAAAAATGGACCCCGATTTACAAAAATGAGGAGGACTCTTTTTTGTGCTAAATGTTGTTTAGGGTTCGGTTTCCCTCTTCCATAATTGAGAAAGTATTTGAAATATGGAAGTAATATACAGAGGTCCATATTTAATTGTATGCCACATATTAATGAAGGCCATATTCCAAGTCTCTATGATGCTTTGCATAAGAAAGACATGAAGGATTTTTATTCTTCTTGCGAAGCATCATTTTGACTCTTACCTGCCTTATTCACTGAGTTAATATGGCCACTGATTCCCAAGTTAGTGCAGTCCTTTGTCTGAGTATAATACAATATATCATAGACATTATAGCTACATATTTTAACTGTAGATCTTAGGAAACATTTGTTCCCAAAGTTCTTGACAACTGCAGTTTGGCTGAAACCCTCTCCTGCCCTTTAGATATTTCTAATCAAAGTTCTGTGAAGTTCTATCACCATAATTTTATCACTTACTGAAGATTAAATAACTGGAGCAAATGATGGTGGCCTGATCACAAGGCTCATTTTAGAGCAAGGGTGGCAAACTTGCAACGTCACGTGACGTGTCGCGACATATCGTGACTATTTTGCCCAGCAATGGGGTGGGCACGGTTTCGCTATGATTCATCCAGCTCATAGGCCGGCTGCTTGACACCCCTGTTTTAGGGTATTTGATGATGAAATATTTTCATAGTCTTTGCCCATCCTATAGAACAGTGGTTCTCAACCTGTGGGTCAGGACCCCATTTGGGGTTGAACGACTATTTCATGGGGGTCGCCAAACAACGCAGTCCACCATTTTTTCCCCCTTTTCCTTAGCTGTGCTACTCCCTTTTATTCTATTGGCTTTTTAAAGCCAATAGAATATTCTCTCTTGAATAGAGTCTAATTCTATTGGCTTTCAAAAGCCAATAGGAATTGTCCAGGCTGTCTCTGCCCTGCTGAGCCTGCCATAAGTCCCATTCTGCAAACGGTGCTGCAAGTTGTCTGCAGCGAAGGCGAGCTGTCTGGAAGTTTCCACCCCTCCCTGCTGAGCAACTACTAAAAATGCAAATAAAAGAGAGCCAGGGGTGGGAGGTGGGAGGCCAGCGGTGCAGGGAGGGTTGCTGGCGTGCGTGGGGCCCGGCGGGTGCCTTACCTCCCTTGGGCTGGGCCAGCTGGTGGCCCAGCCAGTGGCCGCCCTGCACTGTCACTGCCCCTTGCCAGCTACGCCTTGGCCAGCGCAGGGGGCGGCACCACGCATGCGCGGCGCTCCAGGGCAGAGAAAGTCCTCGACTTACGACCAGTTGGGTAGTCCTCGATTTACGACTGGTTGGGTAGTCCTTGACTTACGACTGGTTGGGTAGTCCTTGACTTATGACCGGTTGGGTAGTCGTCGACTTATGACCGGTTGGGGTCGCAGCATTAAAAAGGTTGAGAACCACTGCTATAGAATCTTACAGAATTAGCATGTTCCCAGTCTCTTTGTTTAAGCAGTGTTATGTGACTGGATTCAGGAAACTGCTGCAGCACTTCACCTCTAGAACAATATTCTTCTTGAGATGAATGTGGCCCCAGTCTGACTTTATTTAAATATTCCCTTAAAATCTGGCTGTTGCCCCAGGCCTTCGGCTGCAGCAGAATGAAACTAATGTTCTAAGATAAGATTGGGCTTGGAACTATAAAATGGTTAGTTAGATGAATTTTTGTGATTGTTGCCCAGGGTTGAGTGATATTTAGGAATTGAAGCTGAAATCCATGGATTATACTAGCATCCTTGCCAGTTACTTTCAGTGTTATTTCATAAAATGCCCCAGAACTATTCAGTTTTCATATCCTCAATTGGAAGTACTCCAGTTCAAATAGTATGGGAAATTATATTTATGAAATATGCACATCTTTGAAGAAAGTGTGTATAAAGGGAGCAAAGAATTGAAAGGTTTATTTAGGAAGAATGCACCTAATTATGGCTTTCATGAACTATATTTTTCTATGATTGGGGTTGTTGGACACTGAATTAAAATGGTAAGGAGTATTTAAATAATTCAGCCAGAACAAGTACCTTTAAGATCTTGATGGTTCTGAGTAGCAGTTGTAGTTTATCATGTCTCTAGAGAGCACTTGGCAATTCTTATTATGATAAAGCTTTAATATTATGTCTCTCCCTGATACAACATTACATGTTGTTGGAATTAAATACTTGTCTCAAAATACGATCAGAGCCATCAATGCTCTGATTCAGACTGAATTCAGGTTCAATTTTAAAAAGATCCTTCAGTGCCAAAAAGGTGCAAGAAGCAAAATGTAGTATCTGCCTGTAACTTTTTAAAGCAGCTGTGTTTTTCCTGGAATCTTCTACTTGCCTTCTGTAATTAACAAATGATGGAAGTGATGTGCAACCCTTGGAAAAGAAGCAGCACTTTAAAAAGTTACATACTGGTGTTAGGTTTGTGTTCTGAACAATTTTTTGGGGTATTCAGTATTCATGTCCAGTGTAGACAAGGAAAATGTGTTTGAATTAAGGAGGCCTTAAAGAGATAGAAGGGTGATAACACATAGTCATAATCCCTTCCTTAACACCTTATTAAAGCAAAATGTGTATTTTCCCTAAACCTATATGGCTATTGGTCTAGCACCAGAAATTGAAAGTATTAAAAGGTTGCCTAAC